CCTCTCCGGCAATCGCCGCCCAGACGCACGCACACGCAACGCACCTTTCTGCCCGTGCTCCATCGGTCTCCGCCGCACGCCTGGCGGCAGTCCTCTGACGAGCAGCAGCTCTCGCCCGGTCAAGCTGTGGGCTGCCTAGGGGCTCCCTCTCCCCGTGGCTTTGTCTGCGCCGCGAGTCTGTGTGCGTCTCTGCCTCACGGAGGGAGTTCGGGTCAATCGGCCCCAACGGACGTCTACTCATCATGCAATTGCCATGCCATGCAGGCCGCTGTGGCTGTGTCCGCTCTGCGCTGTTGGTGTGTCGCTGTGCCCGCTGAGCGCGTGTTGTCTGCTGTGCGTGTGTGTTCAGTCTGCTCGCTGAGCGCGTGTTGTCTGCTGTTGCTGTTTGCTGCTCTGCTGTGTAAAAAAAAAAAGTGCGCCCTGTAGTCACAAATCAAGTCCTGTACTCTAAAACCTAGTTTAAGCGAACACAACACACGCACGCACTTTTTTTCCTGCATCGGCCCCTATATTGCGCTGAGCCCTCTCAGGCAAGATTAGAAATCTCGCTTCGCTCGAATAAAAAGAAGAAAAAAACCCTACCTAGTGTTTACCCCCTCCTGTCTGTGTGACCCTGGATGGTTGTATTAGTTATTATATGAAAAAATACACTGACAGGAGGTGTAGTACTCTTTACATACATACTGAGTCCCTCGCGGGCGAACCAGGTCACAACAGATAGTAGGCGGGTGGTGTCCCAAGGTGCAACTCACCGCCGCGCTGGCTCAGCGTGGCGGTGAGGATGCACAGACGGTGGTAGTGGCGAGAGGTGTGTATGGACACTGTTCCCGCGGCAGTAATGCAAAGCGGCAAACTGCACCTGGCAACCACCGTCGCGGAAAGCGTGGCCCACGAAGCTGGAGGAGTAGAGAGATTCGTAAAAAACACGTCAGTAAGCACCGCTCGCGGGAGAAGGGAGACAACCGCGGGCACCGCGGGGAGGGAGTGCTGCACCCTCCTCGTCAAAACACCACAGGCCTGTGGCAAGAACCGAGCTCTGCAGAGAGAGATGGATTGATGCGAGGAAATTCGCCGCTCGGAAAATACGGAAGAAAGGACACCTGCAACGCGAGGTGGACCGAGAGCGACACGAGACCGCAGCGGCCGTCAAGGCGGATGCGAAGAAGAAAGCACGAGAGGACGACCTATCGTTCGGCACTTTTAACGTACGCACGCTCGCCTACAGNACAGACCTGTGGCAAGAACCGAGCTCTGCAGAGAGAGATGGATTGATGCGAGGAAATTCGCCGCTCGGAAAATACGGAAGAAAGGACACCTGCAACGCGAGGTGGACCGAGAGCGACACGAGACCGCAGCGGCCGTCAAGGCGGATGCGAAGAAGAAAGCACGAGAGGACGACCTATCGTTCGGCACTTTTAACGTACGCACGCTCGCCTACAGCGGTAGGAACCCCACCGGTCACAACGTGATGACGGTCATGCAGATTTGTTCCGCGGCCGGCTGTGATGTGATAGGACTTCAGGAGACCCGACGAGAGGGGCAAGGTTCAATTGCACACGACGGGTACGTGATCATCTGGAGTGGCGCCCGTGCTGGCACCAAGGACAAGAGGGGCGTACACGGTGTGGGCATAGCGATCAAGGAGGCCATGTGGGAGAGTGTGGGCGAGGAAGGTAGGACGGTGGAGTGCATTAGCCCGAGGCTGATGAAGGTGCGTCTACAAATTGGCCGCACCTGCGGAGTAACTTTCGTGGTGGGGTACGCCCCCACGGAAACTGTCCGCACCACCGCGGGCGGTAACGTTAACGCCAAGGGCTCCTTCTGGACTGCTCTCGACGCAGTAATCCGGGAGGTTCACAGCCATGACCATCTCGTGGTGCTAATGGACGCCAACGCACGCACTGGTAGGAGGCGAGACGGGTGCTGCGATGCCAAGATTATGGGCAGTACGACATTATGAACAACAACGGGGAACGACTCCTTGGACTGGCATCAGACA